ATATTTCCTTTTCTTTTTTGTTTTAGTTTATTATAAGTAATTCAAAATTAATATACTAATATAAGGCACATATGGTGTTACAATTGAGTATTTTCAAAAATGTTGATAATGTAATAAATGTTATTGGACATGAAAAGTAGTAAAATTGGTCTAATCACAACATTTCTAATATCTGTTTAAGTTGCAATAAATAAATAGTATCAGAGTGTTAGAAATAAATATGACTAGAACAATAGCACTGCATTTCCTCTATATATGACCTTAAATGACCTTGAATGACTATGATTACTGAATTAATTTGAATGTGGAATACATTTATGCATATTAAAAAAACATGCAGTCCTATTCAAAAAATAAATAGTAACTTTGGAATCTCATTGACTTTATCATATACAAAAAAGCAAATTAAGCAGAAATATAAGCCCCTAAAGTACATTAACTTTGTCTAATATCACTTTTTGTATCATTAATACTTTCAAATATTCAACATTTACATAATTTCAATATTTATTATTATTCAATATTTACATAATGTAACATTTTGTATGCTTCACCCTGTATATGATTGATACATGGCTGATATATAAGAAGAATAAATATGTTACAAATTATATTATAATTAAAAACATATTGTATTAAATAAATTATTGAGTAAATATACTTCAATAAATCATTTCAAGAAATAAAATACATATAAATTAACAAAAGAAAGTAAATAAATAATACTGTTTGTAGTTATATTAATTTTGCATGCAATATATATGCTGTGTTTATAGGATGCCATGGCAAGGAAATGAAGACAATCTTATTGACCGATTTGATGTACGTGCTCACCTTGACTGGATACCAGAAGCACCAGATTGTATTGATGTGGACATTGCTCTTACTAGTGAAGATAGACATATCAATTATGAACGTTATCGTATAATTGTTCAAAACGAATTTTTAGGAGGTGAAAAATTAAAATTTGTATATAAGTAAATTTATATTTTATCGATATTCTAAATTGTTTGATTAATTATTTTTAATGTAGTAACGGAAGAAAAATTTTTACATCAAATACACTTGGAAGAACAATTTGGTTCATCAACAAAATTAGATTCTGCAAGGGATAAGAAGAAATCATGTAATAATGTAGCCATTGGGTACAATTATGAAACAGAAGAACCAATAACAGAAACGGTAAAAACAATGGATGCTGTTATATCTGACGAAAAGGCAGATGATGAAGATAGTGATATCGATTTAGGTATAACTTATAGTACATATATAAGTACCATAATTTAGTATGTTAAATATATTACAAATTATATGTTCTCTCCTTTTAGATATATGTGTAGATGTATCTCAAATAGAGCCATCACAAGCACATGAAATGAATTTGGTAGCTCAAAAATATGGGCTTTTAGGAGCTGATTACTTTAGTTTTTTAACACAAGATTTTGAAGAAGCTGAAACATTGAGACAAGCACGTAAACAAGAAGAAGAAAAAGCTATGTATTCGGTAAAACATTTTTATTTATTTGTTTATGCTTCATATTATGTATATTTGTAAAATGATTTTTTTATTAGAATATTGTTACAAAATCATAGAAAAAAATAGTATTAATTATATTAGTGCACTTAATAAATTTATATTATAGGGTAGGAGATCACGTAGAGAAAGACGTGCATTTAGAGAGAAAAAAATGATCGGTCGAGTTATGAGTCCACCAAGGTACTTATTTTCAAAATCCATAGAACTTACTTAAATTAAAAATTTAACAAGTATACTCATGTTATTTTCTATTCTACTTGTTTATTAGTTATGCGGCGAGAGAAAGTCCTGAATATAATCCCTATAGAAAATCTTCGTCCAAATCTCGTTCAAGATCTGCATCACCTGTTAACACTGGACAAATAACATATATTACAAGTTTTGGTGGTGAAGAAGAAACACATGGAAGTTCGTCTCATGTTACTTCTTCTAATTCAAGAAAAATGAATTATTCTCATCTTAGACGTAGAAGATCAGACAGCCCAACGATCAATGAGCGAACAATTAATAGAAAATTTTCAAAATCAAGATCAAGAAGTTGCTCTCGTTCTATTAATAAATCTAAATTGTACAGAAAGCGTAGTACATCAAGAATAAGGTAAACTTATGATTCTGTAATGTAAACTCTATTCATTTATACCTATATTATTAATAAATATATCATTTTTAGATCAAGAAGAACACGTTCGAGACATAGCAAAATTACAAGATCAAGAACAAGAAGTCGTTCAAGGCGATCACGAACTCGTAGTGAATCTAGATCTCGGTATAGAAGTTTTACTAGATCCCGTTCGCATACTATTTCAAGATCGAAAACAAGATCTAGATCTCGTTCACGTCCGAAAAGATCTAGAAGTTCATCTTCAAGCAGTGCATCTAGATCAAAATCAAAATCAAGATCAAGATCTAAGTCGCACAACAGAAGCCATTCAAGGGATAGTTATCGTCGAAGACATCACTCTCCATCAAAATCAGTATCTAAATCTCGATCCAGAACTAAATCTCAATCTAGATCGAGATCAAGATCAAGAAGCAAATCCAGATGCAAACGATCTCGCAGTATTGAAAATAAAACACCAACATTACCGAGGTACGACATCTGTTTCCGTAAATATAAATTTTTCTTATGTCTGTTATTTTATAATTAGATATTATGGCCGACGTGGAAAATCATCAAGTTTGGAATTAGAATTATCAGATAGCGAGGAAAAAATTCCTACAGCAACACCAAAACCAACGGCTACTAATACCACGAGCATGTAGGATCAGTAATAATTACAATACATTTATGAAATATCAAAATTCTATAACTAGCATTAATAACTTCTTGAATTAATTTAAATATTTTAGGAACAAGCCAAAAGCAGGGTTAAGTACAAATTCTGGTGGCGGACACAAAGTCAGTAAGAACCATAACGCTTACTTAGTCACTTAAAGCACAGAGAATAAAAGACAGTATATAATCTTTATGTAACTACCCTCTCGACGAAGAACCTGAGCAAGTGCTACTTGTTTTCATTCTATCGGACAATATAAGGCGTTTAAATTACATTCTTTACGTTTGATGACTTATTTCATTTCACTTAATTGCTATGTATTCTATAATAAAAAAAACCACAAAAGAATTTGAATTAAAATTTTTTTTATTTTATCAAAATGAAAATATCAAATAT